GAGAGGAGGTGGGTGAAATACTTCTTTGCGCGCTTCCTCCCGGCAAATTGAGTGAGGAAGCGTTGGGCGAGATCCTGCCATGAGTCGATGCTTCCTTCTGGGAGCCCGTTGAACCACTCGTACGCTGGCCCCTCGAGAGTAGAGAGGAACCAACGGCAGAGGTATTCGTCGGACGCGTTCACCATCAGCATGTTGTTCTGGTAACGGCTGAAGTGCTCCTGGGGGTCTGACCGGCCATCGTAGAACTTGATGGCGTTCCCCCTGTACTTCTCAGGGATGGGGGCCGAGAGGACCCTGTTGGTGAAAGGGGTCCTAGTCCTGACCTGGATGATGGGGTCACCCCGCCCTTCGGCCAGCTCCCTCTCCAGGGTGCTAACTTTGTTCATGAGCGCGTTGAGGCCGGGGTCGTTGGAGGCGCCGGCCGTAGGGATGTTGGCCGACTGCTTGGCCTCCATCTGAGCCAGCCTCCTTTCCAGCTAGGCGATGACCTCGTCCCGGGGGTCCCTGTCGGCCGCAGCGGCGCCCGGCTGGTTCCTTAGGCGCTCGTTGTGAGCCGCGTTGATCTGGTGACGCACGTCATCCTCGTGCAACTTCCCCTTGCCCTTATCCGGGCGGGGCTGGTCCGCTGTCCGGGACACAGACCCCAAGCTTTCCCTTGGCGAGCCAGGACGAGGATCCCCAATCCGTCCCGCCATCCTCTCCGAAACCGGACGACGGCGCGTGTCACCTAGCCTATTGAAGGCAGAGGCTTTTCCACGCGCTGGGGTCTGCCCGGGCCGAAGAGGGGAAGCAGGGTGGGAGTGGGACGACGTCGTGTCCTGGGGCACCACCCCCTCATCGTTGCCTATGTGGACGGCCAACGGTTGGTGCTGAGGAGGTTGAGTGACGTTCCCCCCGGTCCTTGGCAAGAGTGCGCTGAGGACGGTGGGGTTCTGAGCTAGGCTGGCGATGATGGCCGACAACGCGGCCTGGACCTGTGGATCTACGGACGGAGAGGCTGCGGCCATAGGCTGGGCCGGGGCGTGGTCCGCTTTCTCAGCTCGTTTCTTTTCCAGGCCGAGGCGGGCGTCGGGGACTCCGCCGTTGAGTTGGTTGCGGAGGTCCGTCGTGAGGTTGAAGGCCTCCTGGAAGAGGTCCCCTCCGCCGGCCTGGTCGGCCGTGGCGTCCTCATCGTGCTCCCTGGGCTCTTGGTCCTCAGGGATGGCTTTGCTGACGAGGTTGCGGTTTGACTTAGTTCTCCCCATGATCAGTGGTTAGCTGTGCTTGGTAGCGACGAAGGGTGCTAACTTGATTGTTCTAGCTCTCAACGAGAGCACCAAATGACAGAGTATATCTCTAGAGAGAAGTGAGAGCTAGAGAGAGAAGTAGTATATTTGCTTGATATTAATGAATTCTGAACTCCTACAACTACTCCCAAGGGGAGTATTTATAGAGAAAATACGGGCTGGGCTCCCAAGCCTCGGGCTTGGAAGGCCCATTTACAACTGGACCGCTACTGGGCCGAATACAGAGCAACTAATGGGCTGTACAAATGAATGAGTATAAAATCCGGTTCTGGGAGGTCTTCGTGGCCGACGAGGGCGTGGCCGACGAGGGCACGGCCGACGAGGGCACGGCCGACGAGGGCACCCGAGTTCCTTGGGCTCAGGACCATAATCTGAGTTGGCCCCTTTTCGGCCGACGGGGGCGTCTTGGCCGATGAGGGCGCCACTCTGTGTCTTGTGCTTTCTGTTCTTCCGAGTATGTGGGTCCAGGGGCTCAGACCCATATACTCCATCAGGAAATGACAGAGTATATCTCTAGAGAGAAGTGAGAGCTAGAGAGAGAAGTAGTATATTTGCTTGATATTAATGAATTCTGAACCCCTACAACTACTCCCAAGGGGAGTATTTATAGAGAAAATACGGGCTGGGCTCCCAAGCCTCGGGCTTGGGAGGCCCATTTACAACTGGACCGCTACTGGGCCGAATACAGAGCCACTAATGGGCTGTACAAATGAATGAGTATAAAATCCGGTTCTGGGAGGTCTTCGTGGCCGACGAGGGCGTGGCCGACGAGGGCACGGCCGACGAGGGCACGGCCGACGAGGGCACCCGAGTTCCTTGGGCTCAGAACCATAATCTGAGTTGGCCCCTTTTCGGCCGACGGGGGCGTCTTGGCCGATGAGGGCGCCACTATGTGTCTTGTGCTTTCTGTTCTTCCGAGTATGTGGGTCCAGGGGCTCAGACCCATATACTCCATCAGGAGTCCCCCACTCTCTAACCTGAGACGTAGACGAAGTGAAGGAGAGTAGATTCCCGTGTTTTAGCGCTTTTGGCCGATGCGGGCATCCCCGGGTCGTTAGCCGTTGCGGCGTTGGCGTTGTTTCCTCTTTGGTGTGTTCATTCGAGGACGATGAGTCTCCCGCTTCGATGGTGGCCGTTGAAGGCACGCTTTCCTTTTCATGGGCGTCGATGGTTGAAGTTTGGGCCGATGAGGCCGTTGAGGTTGTTCCTTGCTCTGAGGACGATGGCGTCCTTTCCTTTGGGTGGCCGATGGGGGTGTTTGCGCACTCCTTTTGGCCGTCGTTGATTACCTCTCATGTTTTTGGCCGAAGAGCCCCTCGTGATTAAGTGATGGCGAAGGACGATGAGCGTCCTTGCCTTTGGTGGCCCGTTGGCCGTTGCAGATGACGTTGTGTGCCTTCGGTCGACGAGGTGCAGTGTGACGCATGGCCGATGTGGCCATGCTCTGTGGTTACCTTGTTTGCATTCTCTTTTGTTTTTGTTGAGGCCGGTGTAGTCCCCCAGTCCCCCACTTCTTCAGGCCGAAGAGTGTGAGGGGTGAAGGAGTTGCCTGAGTCCCCGGCCGAGGCGGCCTCTCCGTAGTGCCCCTGAATCCAACCCTTATGGCGATTTTCTGGCCAAGGTAACCCTGTGGGAGAACCCTTGTGCGCAGATCGCTTGTAAAGAGTTATCATCAAGGGTCGTTACGAGGAGCCGACGGCTGTGGGTTTTTGTTCCTTTGGTCCTGTGGCCGTTCATTACGTTCCTGGCCGTTGTCATCTCCCTATCGTTGGCACTTGTGAATTTGGTATGTGAATAGGCCGGTGTGGGCGCTTGCTGGCGGGCTCTTGATGTTTTGCTTGGCCCGTTGTTGACGTGGCGGCCTCTCATTGGTGGCCGTTGACGTGGCCATTGGGAGGGTGCCACGTGTAGTGACCGTTGGGTGGGGGGTTCTATAAATACCCCTCCCCCTCCGACGAGAAAACTCATTTGCTTTCTGAGTTTTGTCGAAGTGCTGCCTGGATTTCTAGAGAGATAAACTCTGAAGCTTGTTCTTCGTGTTCTTCATTTGTTCAAGGTTAGTGTTCATCGAAATCCTCTCTGTACTTTGCATGTTTTGCTTCCTAGGCTAGTGATCTAGTGTTAGGCCCTTGAGTATCCTTAGATCTTGAAGTAGGCTGCAGTATATTCGAGATAGTGTTTAAGATGAAAAACCTCAACGAGGAGTACTATCCTTATGACGACGAGCCCTCTGCCCAGTCCCTTGACTATGACCTAATCGAGGAGTTCTGTGAGGAGATTGAGAATCTGAGCTCGTTCCATACCGGGGAGCCGGCCGAAGAGGACCATGCGGACGAAGGGTCTGCGTCATCGTCTGGGGGTGAGGACGCGGGGGTCTCTCGAACTGCTGATGGGGCATCTACGTCGGCTGCCATCCCCTGCCCTAAACCTGTGTTTGCTGTGAAGGGCGTTGCACCGCCGAGGAGGGTTAGGAGGCCGAAGAGAGGGCCAGCCTTTTCTCACCTTGATTTGACGAACATCTATGTCATCAGGCCGCAGAGTAATGCGGGGGAATACTTGGTCGCCCAAATGTATGTGGGGCCGTACGGCAGGGTTAGGGCCCCCAGGCCGACGGACCATGTCCTCAATCCCCCCCCGGGCTACTTCGGAGTGTACCCGATGAGCTTTGCTAAAGGGCTTAGGTTTCCGCTTCATCCTTTTATCACTGAGTACCTGGATATGGTGGGGCTCCCTCCGGCCTTGTTGACGCCGAATAGCTACTCCCTCATCGTCGGCTTCATCCTGCGGTGTGCTGAATTGGACTTCAGGCCGACGACGGCGCTGTTTATGAACTTGTATCAGATAGGCCGTGGGAGTCATCAGAACTGTGCGTCGTATGCCACCCTTCAACAACTTCCCAAGAAGAGGAGTTTCACAGACCTGCCGACGTCCATCCATGGGTGGAAAGGGAAGTTTGTGTTCGTGTCTCTGGGCGAGGGGGGCACAGAGTTTCCCTCCGTCGGCCACACGGGCCGTTTTAATCTTCATGATGCGCCGAGGAGCTCCATCCTGGACGCTCAAGTTGAGGCCTTCCTGGAGGGGGGCCGAGGAGTGTGAAGACATATATTACCGAGTACAAGATGGCCGCCCTCGGCTTTGTACGGTATTTTGTGTATGGTGATCTCGACGATGATGTGGAGTTGTGGCCGAAGATGACCACGTCCTATGAGGAGGTTGATGGTCCCGATCTGGGGGTGCCAGCTGAGGCCGATGGTAAGTCCCTTCTGACGTGCTTCCTTGTCGTACTTTCGTATTTTGCTTTCTAACCCTTAGTGTTTTTTTTGTGATGCAGGTTTTGTGATGGACTGCATGTCGTTCATGAAGAGGGCCCAACTCAAAGCGGCCGAGGAGCTGAAGGCCCAACAACCTGGGGCTACTGCTACGGCCAAGCCGCCGGTGCAGCTGAAGAAGAAGAGGCAGGCCGAAGAGGGCCAGAGGAAGTTGACGGAGGTGGGAATGAAGCCTCCCAAGAAGTCAAAGAGGGCTTCTTCTGCCGGCGATGCTGGGACGTTGGCTGTTCCTGCTGGGGACGGAGAGGGTTCAAATCCTGATGCTATGGTGGACCACCCTTCAGGCCCGTCGTCCACCACTCTTTCCACTATTCCTGCTCCCTCAACGGCCGCCCGGAAGAAAGGGTCTGGCCGAGAGCTGGTCAGAGGGACCTATAAGCTCGAGGTAGAGTACCCCGTTAAAGGGGGGCTGTTCAATGAAATCGTTGACGGCCACGAGGTGATTTCTCAGGCCATCCCTGATGAAGACCGGGCTTATCTGAAGAAGCTCGGCCACGTGAAGATGTACGATGGTGGGATGGACCACGTCGTCCAAGTGAGTAACCGTGCACGCTTCGTCTTACTTTCTTCGCCATTTTTTTTTGCAAAGTTGTCTAACTTATTTTTACTGCAGGGTGCCTTCATGTTGATGGAGAACAACAGGAGGCAACAAAAGGAGATTGCCCGTCTGAGGCAATTTGAGCAGAAGGTTGCCTCAGCCGATGAGGCGCTAGGCAGCTTAGAGAGGCTGCGTCTTGAGGTTGAGGGCCTTAAGAAGAGGGCCGACGAGGCCGACCAGTTCTCCGCTGAGAAGGAGGGGGCTCTCCAACGCTTGGCCGACGTGGAGCGTGCCCGCGATGAGGCCATTCAACGCGCCGAGGAGGCCGAGAAGGGCAAGGCTAGTGCAGAGTTGGTTCTCGTCGCTGCCGAGGAGAAAGCCGCTGATGCCGCTGTGCAGAAGTTTATTGAAGTCGGTTGGAAGGACGAGGGCCGGCTTCCATTCTGTTTTGAGGTCGTGGCGGCCAGACTCGTTGACTGGGTGAACCAATCCCCCGACGGCCAGGCCTATTGGGAGAAGGAGATGAAGGTCTTTTATGACCTTGGCCAATACCGGATGCAACGGTTGTTGTACAGGAGGCTGCAACGGCGTTTCATGGATATCGGTGTGTCCAAAGAGTGGGCCGTCGGCCTCGAGTTGCCTCCTTTGATGAAGCATCCTGAGGCAGAGTTGGAGCTTCCGGTGGCCGAGCGGCAGCTCCCTATTGAGAGCTCACGCATCAACGATGACTGGGCGTATGAGCGGAGCATGTTCGAAGATACTGCCACGTCGGCTGCCCCTGCCGGTACATCTGTTGTCACGGCCGAGGGGGGTCCTGAGGCCGAGAAAGACTCTGAAGCCCCTCAAGAGGTCTGATCCTTTGTAGTTTTATCTTTCTTTGTGCTATGTAACGGCCTAGAAGCCCTCCTTGTACTCAATTTATATTGAATGGAAATGTTTTCGTAGTACTTGTTGTCTGCGTCGTCGTCTCGTTTATTGTTATGTCTAAGTACTTTGGAGTTTAGGACTTAGGAAAATCTACCGAGTATCGGAACCTCGAGTGGGTGGGTGTTCTCATCGTCTTGATGTGATACCCCCTTTGCACTGTTAATCATGTGTTCTAAGAAATTTCCTAAGTGTTGAACCGATGTTGACGTTGTCAGCTCAGTGTCCTTTGTGGCCGTTGTGTCCCCTTGTTTTTGATCTGATCAGGGTGGTCGGCTTGGGGCCATGTGTTGTGGCCGGTAAGGGCACACATGTTGCTGTCTTTCCGGCCAGGTGGCTTGACCGGCCTGGCTGTCGTTTCTCAACTATTATAACACTTAGGATTTTTTCAAAAATTTCTTAAGTGTTTTGGATCCACTTAGGTGCTCTCCTTTCGGCCTTGACCGCGGTGTCCGCTCCGTCCTGGCGTTGTCCCGTTCTTCTTTTTTGTTAGAATTTTTCTTAAGCGTCTAACTTCAAGTGGAAAGGTGTTCCCATCGTCCTGGCGGTGGATTTCTCATTGTTGACAAATGCTTTGTGAGATTTCCCAAGTGTTTGAACCAGTGTCGTTGTCGGCCTGCATCCTTTTGTTGTGGCCGATAAGGGCACCTTCACCTTGATCTTTTGAACCTAGAGTTCTCCAAGTACACATGCATAGGTGTAAGTAGCTAACGGCCTTGGAGTATACTGGTACCCGCTTCGGCTAGAGTTCCTTCATTTGAGTACTTAGATAATTTTCTAAGTATAAATGTTAGGCATTTACTTCTTTGCGGTGCCGCTGTCGGCCAAGGTCTGGCTTGTGGCCGATGAGGGTGCTGGATAAGGTTTGGCCGACGAAGGTTTGGCCGGTCACAACACTGGCCGACGGAGCCATGGCCGACGGAGACCCGGTCGACGGAGACACCCGGTTCTCCTGACTTCTGGAGTATGTTCTGAGTTGACATCTTTCTGGCTGATGGAGGGCCATCTAGCCGATGGAGGGCAATCTGGCTGATGGAGGACCCACTGGGTTCCAACTGTGCTTCTTATTCTTCTGAGTATGTGGGTCATGAGGTCTGGACCCATATACTCCACCATGAGTCCCCCACTCTCTGAGCTGAGATGCAGGCGAAGTGAAAGAGAGTAGATTCTCGTGATCTTGATTTTCTTGGCCGATGTGGCACTGTTGCAGACATTCTCTGTTTTGGCCGTTTTGGACGTTCCCTGTTTTGGCCGTTGTGTGCATTCTCTATTTTGGCCGTTGTGTGGCCGCTGTTTTGGCCGTTGTGTGGCCTCTATTGTGGACGGAGACGGGCCTTTCTCTGAGGATGGTGCGCGCTCTTGCGATTGAGGACGATAGTTGTCCTGGCGTGGGTAGCCGATGAGTGGTCTCAATCACGAGAGTGGTGCGACTTATCTTTGGCCGTCGTTGGTTGCTTCTAGTGCTTCTGGCCGAGGAGGCACCGTGATTGCTTCCAGCATTTTAGGCTGAAGTGACATCACTCGTAGTTCAATGTTCGTGGTTTTGAGGATGATGAGGGTCCTCGATCATAAGACGTTATGTGTCTTTAGATTTGTGGATGTTGGGGGGTTGTTCTCATTTTGGCCGAGGGGGGAGCATGTGACCCAATGGCCGTTAAAACGCCACGTGGCGAGGGACGACATGTGTCATGTTCTGGATGGTGTGTTTGAGCTTTACTTTCCTGTTGGCTTACTTTGTTGTGGCCGAGGGTGCACCACAAGGTCCTGGACATTATGGCACCTAGACGATACGATGTTGTTGTGGTTGTATACTTGTATGCTTGGTTTCTTGGGTTTTCAATTCTTATATTTGCGTTTTGTGTTGAAGTCGATGTAGTCCCCCAGTCCCCCACTGCTTCAGGCCGAAGATGAGTGAGGGGTGAAGGAGTAAAGTGAAATCCCAGGCCGAAGTGGGATCCTCGTATTTCCCCTGAATCCAACCCCTTGACGATTCCTGACCAAGGTAACCCTGTGGGAGAACCCTTGGACGCAGGTCGCTTTCAAGAGGTTATCAACAGTAGGTTTTGTACGAGGGCCGATGCCTATTTGGGTTGTGCTCTACTTTCATTTTGTTGTCGTTGAAGGGGCCACGCTGTTAGGGAGATGTATAGCCGATATGGGGCTCTCCTTGAAGCTTTTGATGCCGAGGTGGCGTTCTGATATGGGGCAAGCCGTTGACTGCTTTGGTGTGGCCGTTAGAATGCGGCCGATGTATGTGCTGCTCGCTGGTTCCTTGGAAGTGGGCTGATAGTGTGGGAAGTGGGCCTGGCCCAACTTCTGAACCGGTGGCACCTTATTGGGCCCTAGCGTGGTGGCCATTCATGTGACCACTGGGAGGGTGCCACGTGTAATGACCGTTGGGGGAGGTCTATAAATACCCTCCCTTCTGAAGGAAGTCCCTCACTTGCATCATGAGCTAAACGAAGTGCTGCCCAATTTTCTAGAGAGGAAATCTCGTTCAAGTGTTCTTCGGTTCCTTCGAATCTTCAAGGTCAATTCATCACTCGTTATTGCTTTTTTCCTTATATTTTGCATCCCAATGGTTAGATCCAGTGTTCGCAAGAGACTTGTACTTAGATCCCAAATAGTCCCCATTAGGGCTTGAGTAGTTGTAATGGCGAAGCCCTTGGACGACGAGTACTACCCATACGACGATGAAGTTTCCGCCAAGTCCCTTGATTACCAAGTGGTGGTTGAGTGTTGTGAAGAGATAGAGGAATTGAGCCCCTTCACATCATGGGCGCAAGAAGACGAGGAAAGCATGGACGAGGAAACCGCCTCGTCATTTGAGGGTGAAGACGTTGGAGTTTCGCGTGCAGTGGATGGATTGTCTACATCGGCTGCCATACCGTGCCATGATCCCCTTTCTGCCGTCAAAGGGATAGCTCTGCCGAAGAGGCGGCGTCGGCCGAAGAAAGGCCCAGGCTTCTCCTATTTGGACCTTACTAACGTTGACCTCATTAGACTGCAGAGCAACGCGAGTGAGTACTTGGTCGCCCAGATGTATGTGGGGTCGTTCTGTTGGGTTAGGGCACCCAAGCCGACGGATCATGTACTTAATCCCCCTGCTGGGTACTTTGGGGTATATCCCATGAGTTTTGCGAAGGGGCTTAGGTTCCCCCTTCATCCGTTCATCACGGAGTATTTGGACATGGTGGACCTCCCTCCGGCCTTGCTGACCCCAAACAGTTACTCCTTGATCGTCGGTGTAACACCCCCAAATTTCCCACCCAAAACATTAATATAATTGAAATAAAACTTTTATTTATTGATAATGAAAATTTAAAGAAAGTACAGCGGAAGTCTTAATAAGGGAAATGGGTGTTACCGCCACATCCGGTCATCTCTCAACCGGATGCACAGGCAACTAAAACATAACAACTAATTTAATAAAAATAAAGTGTTTGTAAAGTAAGTGTTTATTTCATGACTAGTATAACTAAGGCGACTACTAATTCGCTCTCGGGCCATGCAAGCAATCATCAATCGACAAAATCATCCTCACCTGCACAAATAAAATGCAGAAACAAAACAAGGAAAAGAAAACAAAAATTAGCTTTAGAGCTAAATAAGTACTACCCAACCCCGTAAAATAATCATGTTTGACTAAAATAGATCTTTATATAATAATATATAAAAATACTCACACCATCGAAATTCTTTTCACTTTGATTTTTCTCAAAACTACTTCTTTAAAAAAATCCTCAACTTCTCTTTGAAAATCTGTTAGTAATTCTTCTCTTTAAATTTCTTAAGAAAATCACTTCTTCTCTAACTTCCTAGTAATTTAGAAGGGCGGTGCTCAACCTTTCGGTAGAGCCCGGTGGACCGTGGTTACGGACGGCCACCCCGAACAAGTGTCGGTACCACAACTGCTCTGTTGGAAACGAAACGACTACCTTAAGTGTGCACACCCCCTAAAAGGGATTCCAAACCCTCCGAGTAGTAAGTCGTAACGAGTAGTCGGGACTCAGTCTACCAACTACCCCTGAATAAGATATCTTGAATGATTAGGGACTACTACTACCATAACTTCTTCTTAAAAGGGATCATCGATCCAAATATCACTTTAAACTCAAACTGTACTTCTTAGTAGTAGCAGACCTAATCACCCTCCACATTTATCCGGACGTGGAAAACCGACACCACGGATTTCTCCCGTGATGCTCACCTCTTATGAAATCATTCTTTTATCTTGAATAAATATACTTCAAAATATTTCTCAACTTCTCAAACTGCTTTAAAAATATTTAGATAAAATATTTACCCCCAAAAGCACTTAGTTTCACGAATCATCTCAGAATCACATGCATAAAAGTCATACTTCACACTTAAAAATCACGTATCACATAATACATATATAATACGAGGAAACGATTTTTGGATTGGCAGAGAAACTTACCTCAAAATTGGTGCTCCAAGACCATGCCTTCTATTCCGGTCTCTATATAGAGTCACCTTCTAATTACAATTTCATAATTAGTCCTTTATTCTACTTTTATTAATTTGCCCCATTTAACCCACTTTTATTTATGTGACTCCAACTCCTATTATTCCAATAAATCAACATTATTCATTAATAATAGTTAATCCACTTTGTCAAAGTATAATATATTCTGTTGATAGTTATCTGCTTACTTTCGATTTATAAGTTTAAAGTTTACTTATGAATATTATCTTAAATGTAAAGTAGTCCAACAATTCATCTAAAATTCCTCTTTTAATCCGAAACAAAAATTAACCTTTAATTAATAAGTACTCAAACTATGGGTTCAATACTGATATTTCGGTTTTAAATAAATTATTTTATTAATTTTAATAAATGTATCTGTTGAAAATTCCAGTTCACTAAAGCGGGTTTTTATCTGTTAATTAGTCAAATACTCCATAAATATCTCAATAAAGTCAATTAATCATAACCTATTCTAATCCGATAACATCATTTATATGATCAATTAGACATTTGATATACATAATCCCAGAACAATATATAACCGTTTGTTTTAGTTTAGCCCAATTTTACACGATACAAATAAAAAAAAACAGAAATTGGACAATTAACTAGTCCGAATATAGTATCCCAATAATCATTCAAATTACCAATCGTAATAATGTTAGTATCATTGTTTGATTATTAATATCATTAATCTTATTATTAACTATTATTATTCTTATTATTATATATAACTCCAGCCCATAAAAAAAAGCAAAAAGTAGGGAAGCACAGCAGTAGAGTACCAAGTACTCATCGATGGCCAAGGCGGAACCAGAGGGAGTCTCCTACGGCGTTCTTTGCGGCAGCCCCGCGGCGGTGCTGTGAGCGCCGAAAATGGACTGGTAGAGGGTGGCTCTTCTCCCGGCGTGAGTTCAGCCCGGTATCGTCCTTCCTCCTCCACGATGACAACTACCTCCGGCGACTCTCTTCTGGTAGCAGCGCACACTGGCGGCGTTCCGGGGTACTTCTCTGCGAGCGGCAGCACCTCTTCTTCTCCCAGAGATCGTACGGTGTTGTTTCTGGCGAGCTTCTATCTCTGATGTCGTCTCTTCTGGCAGCTACACGGCCTCTTACGACCTCCCTTACTTCGGCGGCCACCAGTCCGGCTAACGCCGGCGGGTGATTACTCCCTCCTCCGACGATCGTTCTCTCTTCCTCACCCGTTTACGTTTCTCCCGCTTACGTGAGGTAATAGCACGCGTATGCATGAATGTGAATGTGTATAACCCCCCACTCACAATTAAGTCCATGCATAGAAATACTCCTCCCGTCCGTTGGGTTCATTTGGGTTTAATTGTTCTCTTAAAGTCTCAATTATTATCATGTGTAATTATTTGGTCCGTTAGCTTCAATCTGTAACCGTTGGTTATTTACGTCGGTTGCGTGTGTGTATATACAAAGTATATATATTATGTGTATGTATATGGATACTCACGTATGTATGCATGTATCTATATCATGGGTGTGTATTACGTATGCATATGTGATATGTATGCTGCAAGTGTATTTGTATACTCCGTATTATTTATGTACTTAACATGGCATGTATGCGTTAGCTATGCATATATGTACTCATATTTTATTGATGGAATGAGGGATGTGTGAGTGTATTTACTTCCGCGCGTTATGCGTATTATTATATTACTTCACCTTTAATACTTTGTTTTATTGACATCACATAAAATATCTGGTCTAATATTTTTTTGTCGGATTATTTATATCTGGTTTATTTCAATCAGATAAATTATATCTATTTTAGTTTTCTTTTATTTTTATTTTAATTTTTTTTTGGGTGTCACATTTTATCCCTCTTAAAAAAAATGTTTCATCCCCGAAGCATAAACTAATACAAAGGGATTTCTAATGTTTTATCAATGCGGGTGTTATAGTCGGGTTCCTGCTTCGTTGTGCCGAGTTGGACATCGCACCGACGATGGCCATGTTAATCAATTTGTACCAAATAGGATGAGGTAACCACCCGAACTGTGCCGGTTATGCCAACCTCCAGCAGGTGAAGAACAGGAGGTCCTCCAATGATCTTCTGACGTCCATCCACGGCTGGAAGAGTAAGTTTGTCTTCATGTCATTGGGCGTAGCAGGGACCGAGTTTCCTTCTGTCGGCCATACTGGGAGGTTCAACCTCCATGAGGTGTCGAAGAGCGCAATCCTGGATGCTCAGGTGGAGGCGTTCTTGAAAGGTGGGCCGAGGAGCGTAAAAAAGTACATCACGGAATACCAAATGGATGCTCTCGGTTTTGTGAGGTATTTCGTCTATGGCGATGCAGAGGATGATGTTGACCTGTGGCCGAAGATGACCACGCAGTTTGAGGAGGCTGATGGCCCGTACCTGGGTGTGCCTGCCGAAGCCGATGGTAATATCCTCCTAACGTCCTTGGTTCCATTTTATTTTCTTCCTTTGCTAACATTGGTTTTTGTCGTGCAGACTTTGTTATGGACCGCAGATCCGTGATGAAGAGGGCTGCTGTGAAAGCGGTCGAGGAATTTGCGGCTCAGGGGGCTGCACAGCAGGCGTCGGCCAGTGGAGCCCAGCCGACTTCAGACCAGCTAAAGAAGCCGCCCACTAAGTAAAAAAAGAAGCGGCCGATGGATGACGGCCAAAAGAAGTTGTCGGAGGCTGGTACCCTAGCTGTCCCAGTCGGAGACGATGGCGGATCCCGTGCTGACGCCATTGTGGACCTCACTTCCGGCCCTTCGTCTGTTGCTATCTCTCAGCCTCCCCCTGAAGCCCAAGGCTCTCGGAAGAAGCGCTTTGGCAAAGAGCTGGTCCGGGGGACCTACAGAGTTGAAGTTGAGTATCCCATGAAGGGCGGTCGGGTATTCAACGAGATCGTTGACGGCCACGAGGTGATTTCCCAGGCCATTCCTGATGAGGACCGGGCGTACCTCAACGGGTTTGGTAACGTCCGGATCTATGATGGTGGGATGGACAATCTTGTCCAGGTGAGTTGTCTTTTCCATACGTTGTCATTTTCTCCCCCTTCTTTCTTTTATTGTTGTGTCCTCGTCAGCCTGACTAGTATTACTTTGTGCAGGCGACCTTCATGCTGATGGAGAGCCACAAGAGGCAGGAGCGGGAGATTGCTCGGGTGAGTGAAGTTGAGCAGAAGGCTGCTTCGGCCGATGAGGCATTGAGTATCTTGGATCGGGTTCGGGGGGATGTGGAGGTCGTGAAGAAGAAAGCTGCCGATGCGTCCACTCGCCAGTTGACTGCAGATAGGGATGATGCCCTCAAAAAGTTGGTCGAGGAGAAGGAAGCGCATGAGGCTTCTCGCAGTCGTACTGTTGAGGCCGAGAAGGCCCGGGTCGAGGCCGAGCGAGCCATTGAGATTGCTGCTGAGAAGGTCGCCGATGCCGCCGTTGAGAAGTTCTTGGCTGAAGGCTGGAAGGCAGAGGAGCGTCGGCCTTGGTGTTTTGAGGTCGTGGCGGCCAGACTTGAAGATTGGGGCCAGAACAGTCCTGAAGGCCAATAATACTTCGAGAGGGAGATGAAGGTCTATTACGACATGGGCCAACAACGGATGCAAAAGCTCATCTACCGGAGGCTGCACCAGAGCTTTAAGGCACTGAAGCTCACCCAGAAATGGTCCAGGACCTTGAAGCTCCCCAGAAATATGAAGGACCCAGAGGAGGAGATGAAGCTTCCTCCCTCTGAGAGGCAGGCTTCGGTGCTGAGTTCCTCCGTCGGTGAAGAGGAATGGACCGATGATGATGTCCTGGTGGACAATGCCGCCTCCACATCCGGAGCCGGTAAAGATGTTAAAGTGGAGGAGGCCGAGCAAGCTGATGCTGAACAGGCTACCAATGAGGCTGACGAGGAAAGTTGATCAGCTGCCTCTTTTATTTTCATTGATTGTTTTAGTAGGTGTTGTAGTGCCTGTATATGTAAAGGCCGTTGTGCCCCCCTTCTTATACTGAATATTTTGAATGCAAATATTAGGTTGGCTTTTCCATCTTTAGCGTCTGTTTCATCTTTCTTGTCCTTATGCTACTTTTGTTATTCCACACTTTGAAATATTTCTGAGTATTAGTTGAGACCGAGTGGTTGTTTCCCTCTGTCGTGGCCGATGAAGGTCACTGACCCTTGTTCGGCTAAGGGGAACGTTTCCCATGAATCTTTTGAGTTTGTGTCGCCTTCCATGTGACTTCCGTCAGCCAAATAAATGTCACTTGGGAATTTTTCCAAGTGTCTTGGGGTAATCTGTGTGTATGCTTCGTCCATACTGCGTAGTATTCGCCTGATATCTACTTAGTCAAATTTGTGGGGATTTTATTTTTATCTCTCGAGGCCGGCGAGTGCGCGGTTCTCGGCTTCCCTCTTTTGATTTGTGGGGATTTCGCTCGAGACCGACGAGTGCGCGGTCCTCAACTGTCCCTCTTTTGATTTGTGGGGATTTCGCTCGAGGCCAGCGAGTGCACAGTCCTCGGCTATCCCTCTTTACCAAAATGAAAGTGGAGCACAATTTACATTGATAAGTGGCTCGAGACTGAGGGTGGTAATCAATCAATAACCCGTTAGGGGGTGAGGGCTTTGCCGGCTTCGCCTCCCTCGGATTATTGATAGAACTTCACCAAGTGATTTACATTCCACATTCGTGGTACTCTAGACCCATTTGGGTGTCTAAGTTTGTAGGTGTCGGGTTTCACTACAACACTGACGATGTAGGCGCCTTTGTACTTCAGTGCCAGCTTGCCACCTTCCATCGGTTTGCTCGCCTCCCTTTGGCGGAGGACGTAGTCCCCCACTTGGAACTCCCGGGAGCGTACCTTGGCGTCATAGTGTGATTTTACTTGACGCTGGTAGTTCTCTGCCCGGATGTAGGCTTGCTCGCGTCTCTCTTCGACCAGGTGGAGGTCGATCTTCATGGTTTCCTCGTTAGCCTCGAGTTCATATTGCTCCACCCGTCGGCTAGGTATGGTGACCTCCGTAGGTGCCTTTGCTTCGAAGCCATAGCACAGGGCGAAGGGTGTTTCGCCCGTTGCCCTCCCCGTGCGTGGTTTGGTAGCATCATAGAATGTTGGGGAGCTCGTCGGCCCAGCTGCCTCCTGCATCTTGAAGTTTCTTCTTCAGGCCTTACATTATGGTTCTGTTGTCGTTCTCAACTTGCTCGTTAGCTTGAGGGTAAGCAATGGAGGAGAAATGATGCTTGATTCCCCATTCCCAGAGGAGCTCTTGGAAAGGTGTGGCCTCAAATTGGGTGCCATTGTCGTATATGATCTCCTGAGGGACGCCGAAACGGGTAAGGATGTTTTTGTGGACGAACTTCTGGCACCTGGACCCAGTAATGTTGGCCAATGGTTCCGTTTCGACCCACTTGGTGAATTAGTCGACTGCGACGATGATGTAGCGGTTGTTGCCGGCGGCTCTTGGCAGGGGGGCGACCAGGTCAATCCCCCATCTGTAGAATGGAATTGCCATGCTGACTGGGGCGTAATTATCGGCTGGCCGACCAGGGGCCTTCTGGAGTACCTGGCATGCGGTACACTTCCTGGCATACTGTGGGATATGCTGAAAGGGCCCTGGTGTGAGGAGTAGACGCCGCAGTGGACTTCCTCCATGGCCACTTCGGCCTCGTCCGGATGTAGGCATCGAAGGAGGGTGCCATTGTAGGATCTTTTGTAGAGCTTCCCGCCCTCAATGGTATAGCTCAGGGTCCTGAGCTTGGCTAGTTTGGCCCTCTCCTCATCCTGGGGTAGTTCTCCCAAAGTGATGAAGGTCATGATGTCGGAGATCCAATCCTCCAGACGTTGTTGGATGCACAGGACCGGGCTGGCATGGATGCTGGACATGCTGAGCTCCTCAATCTTGGCTATCTGGGAGATGTGCTCCGGGGTGTCCGTGCTGAGCTTGGAGAGAATGTCTGTCTCAACATTCTCCGCCCTTGGGATCTGTGTGATCTCATGGGTTTCAAACGCCTTGAGTAATTCCTCGGCCGCTTGTTTGTACTGCCTCATCCTCCCTTCTTTGGCCTCGTATGAGCCCTCGATCTGGCCCACCACCAGCTTGGAGTCGCATTTGATCTTGATGTGTTGTGCTTTGAGGCCGGCCATGAATCTGTCGCCTCTGAGGAGGGCTTCATACTCGGCTTCGTCGTTGGATACCCTGAAATTGAAGCGGATGGCGTAATAAACCCTGAATCCCTCATGGGAGATGAGGACGACGCCACCTCCACATGATCTTGCGGCTGAGGAACCATCAGTGAATAGGGTCCATGCTTCGTCTGGCTTTGACCGGGGTATGGCGGTCGCTACCTTCTTTGCCGTGAACTCGGTGACGAAGTCAACCAAGGCTTGCCCCTTGATAGATGGCCTGGGCTTGATTTCAATCTGAAACTGGCTGAGGAAGATTGCCCACTTCACCATCCTTGAGGAACTAGTTGGGCTCCGCATGAGTACACCGAGGGGCCGCTGGGTCAGAATATGGACGGCATGGGCCTGAAAGTAATGCCCCAGCTTCTTCAGCATATGGACGATGGCCAGCACCGTCTTCTCGATCGGGGAGTACCTGAGATCGGCCTCCCGGAGCATCTTGCTAACGTAGAAAATAGCCTTTTGCACCCCTTCATCCTCGCGGATGAGCACGGAACTGATGGTCGTCGTGCTCACCCCTAAGGACAAGAAGAGGGTCTCACCGGCTTTCGGCTTGGACAACACGGGATGGGATGAAAGGTACTGCTTCAGCTCCTCAAATGCTTGCTGGCACTCCGCCATCCACTTGAAGTTGTTGGCTTTGCGCATGATGTGAAAGAAAGGGAGATATCTTTCGACCGATTTGGAGAGGAAGCGGTTCAGGGCTGCAAGCCGTCCCGTCAGCTGTTTCACTTCTTTGACGTTGCGCGGTGGCTCCATGTTTATGATGGCCTGGATTTTCTCTGGATTTATCTCAATGCCCCTTTGGCTGACCATGTAGCCAAGGAATTTGCCCCCTTGGACACTAAAGGTGCATTTCTTGGGGTTAAGGCGGAGCTGGAACTTCTTCATGATTTCAAAGATTTCCCAGAGGTCATCAGCATGGGTAGTAGATTGTTTGCTTTTGACGATCATGTGATCGACGTACGCCTCCATCGTCCCGCCGAAGACCGCTCTGAAAATCTTGGCCACCATCCTGGTATTTGTGGCGCCTGAATTTTTGAGCCTAAAGGCCATGATGAGGTAGCAAAAAATTCCCTCCGGAGTCATGAAGGACGTCTTCTCAGCGTCATCTTCATGCATGAAGATCTGGTGGTACCCTCTGAAGGCATCCAGGAATGACATCAACTCGCAGCCCACCATCTCGTCCACCAACTCATCAATGTTGGGGAGAAGGAACGGGTCCATGGGGCACGCCTTGTTCAAATCAATGTAGTCAACGCACATTCTGAACGTTGGCGTCTTTTGAGCAAGGACGAGGTTGGCTAGCCATGTTAGGTACTTCACCTCTTTGATGTGGCTGATGGAGAGGAGCATGGTGACCTCCCCCTTGACAAAGTCCCGTCTCTCGACTGAGAGGTAGCGCCTCTTCTGCATGACTGGCGCGGAGGCTGGATCGACTGACAACCGGTGGGTGATCACCTTTCGGTTGATGCCTGGCATATCTTCCGCCCCCCACACAAAGATGACGACATATGACCGTAGGACCATGAGGATGCCGTCGCGTTGGTCCTGTGGGAGTTGTCTCCCAATTTTTAGGACTCGCTCCGGCCGAGAGGCATCCAGGGGGCTTCCTCGACGTCCTCTACCGGCTCAACATGCGGTCTTTTTTCGTCCCTGGCGACGGTCATGATAATGGTGTCTATTCTTTGCTCGGCGTTTCCAGCTGGCTTCGTTAGCTTGAGGTAGTATGCCCTCACTATCCTCTGGTTCCCCTGGCGTAGCCAATGCCACTCTTGGTGGGGAACTTCAAACACAAGTGTTTCATGGAGATGATGGCCTCCAGGTCCTCTAAAGATGGGCGCCCCCAGATCAGGTTATGGGCGCACTCGAGGTTGACCACCATGAACTCCATGTCAATCTTGGTGGGATGGGAGCCGTCACTGACTTCCACGGGAAGGACTATCGTGCCCTCGGCGTCGAAAGAGTCCCGGGTAAAGCCAGACAACGGTGTCCGAATCGGCTTAAGCAGTGCCCTGTCCAGTTTCAGTTGCTTGAAAGTGTCAAGGTACATGACGTTGACGGAGCTCCCTGTATAGATGTAAGTGCGGTGGATGATAGAGTCAACTATCTCACATCGGATGACGAGGGCGTCCCTGTGTGATGCGGGACCTGGAGGCAGATCCTTATCGGTGAAGGTGATTGCCTCTGTCCGTTGCTTCTTCGGCTGGGGGGAGCATGCGACACCTCGCCAATATATAAGGATTGGGCCCATTTCTTTCTCTGGGTGGCGGAGTCCCCCCAGTGTTACCTCCCACGATGAGGTGGATGTGATTCTTCTTCGTATGGGGCTCATTGAAGTCCTCGTCGTCATCGTTGAGTCTACCGATCTCGCACTTTTTCGTCAAGGGTTCTCCCCCATTTTTGCCGGTGTTTACCCGAGTATTTTTTCGTGGGCCACCTTTAACAAATGGAGAGAGTTCCCTCTGCCAACTCAGATGCTCGATGGCTCTCTTCAGCGTGACGCAGTCGTCAGTGTTGTGGGAGGTGTTCTTGTGGTTTCGACAGTAGGTGCCACCCTGATGGACGACATAGATTTCCTTTGCCGAGTGAGGATCCTTCTCAATGAGATCATGCTCTTCGGCGTAGTCGAGGATGGAGCTGACCTAGTGTGTGAGGGGGGTCCTCGGCCTTTCCATCCTCGGACGCCATGGGCGCTCCTTTTTGTTTTGTTCGCGAGACCCTTCGCGGTTCTGTCCTCCCTGTCCTCGGTCTCCGGTCGGGGGTGCGCTAAGAGTTTGCACGGAGTTTTTCTTGGAGGGGTGCCCTCCATCCTTTTTGTGATTGTGGAGCTCATCGGCGTCGGCATACAGATTCCCTCGCTGGGGTGCCTTAGTGTATGACCTCGGCGGGTCGGTGATGAGGCTCCTCGCGTATGGGGTGCTCGGGAGAGCGCCCTGAAAAAGGACAAGGAGGGTGCACTCATTGGCCCCTTCGACCTCATCGGTCTCCTTCGTCCACCGGTCGATAAAAGACCGGAGTGATTCGTCGTGTTGCTGCTTGATGGAGAGGAGATGGGTGAAGTACTTCTTTATGCATTTCCTCCCAGCAAAGTGGTTGAGGAAGCGTTGGGCAAGATCCTGCCATGAGTCTATGCTTCCTTCGGGGAGCGCGTTGAACCATTCATATGCTGGTCCCTCGAGAGTGGAAAGGAACCAGCAGCAGAGGTACTTGTCCGACGCATTCGCCATCATCACGTTATTCTGATAACGGCTGAAATGCTCTTGTGGGTCGGTGCGGCCGTCATAGGGTTTGATGGCGTTGCCTTAGTATTTCTCAGGAATAGGGGCCGAGAGTACCCTTCCAGTGAAGGGAGTCCTCGTCCTGATTTAGACGATGGGGTCACCTCTTCCTTTGGCCAACTCCCTCTCAAAGGCGCTAACCTTGTGCAGGAGTGCGTTGAAACCAGGATCCCTAGATGAGTTGCCGGTGGCAGTGGCGGCCAGCTGCTTGGCCTCCATATGAGCATGCCTTCGCTCGAGCTGGGCGATAACTTCGTCCTGGGGATCTTTAGCGGCCGTAGTGGTGCCCTACTGGGTCCGCACACGGGCTGTGTGAGCCGTGTTGATTTTGCGGCGCGCGTTGTCCTCGCGCAACTTTCCCTTGCCTTTGTCCAGGCGGGGCCGATCCGCTGTCCAGGATACGGACCCCAAGCTTTCCTTTGGTGAGCCAGGCTCACGTTCACCAATCCGTCTCGCCATCCTCTCCGATACTGGCAGGCGACACATGTTACATAGCCTATTGAAGGCTGAGGCTTTTCCACGCGCTGGGGTCGGTCCAGCTCAAAGAAGGGAAGCAGGATGGGAATGGGATGACGACGTGTCCTGGGCATCCACACCCTCATCGTTGCCTAGTTTCATGACTAACGACTGGGGCGGTGGAGGTGGTGGAGTAGCATTCTCCCCCGTCCTAGGCATGAGTGCGCTAAGGACGGTGGGATTCTGAGCCAAGCTGGCTATGATGGCCGATAAAGCGGCCTAAAGCTGAGGGTCAATAGCGGGAGTAGTCTGTTGCCCCGATGCATGGTCTCCCTTTTCCATGCGTTTCTTCCCAAGACCGATACGGGCGTCTTGAGCATTGCCGTTGAGCTGATTGCGGAGATCAACCGCGGGGTCGATTATTTCCTGGAAGATTTCCTCTTCCGCTGCCTTCTCGGCCGTAGCATCACCAGAGCGTTCACGACGACCCTCCTGAGCCTCAGGGATCATCTTGCCAGTGAAGTTGCGGTTTGACCTTGCTCTTCCCATCTTCAGTTAGCTTGTGCTTGGTAGCGAAGAAGGATGCTAACTTGATTGTTCTAGCTCTCAATGAAAGCACCAAATGATAGAGTATATGTTCTAGAGAAAAATGAGAACTAGAGAGAGAAGTACAATTAATACTGCAATAAATGAATTTTGTGAACCCTTACAACTACTGCCAAAGGGAGTATTTATAGAGAAAATGTGGGCTGAGCTCCCAAGTCTTGGGCTTGGGAACCCTTACAACTACTCCCGATTTTTTTTAACAATATGTACTCCGTATAATTTTGGTAAGAAAACAAAGTATATGCATCATTCTATACGAATTGCATAGTCAAAGAACTAATTTAAAGACATTGTTGTTATTGATATATTGCCATATAATAGTATTATATAAATTTGATAAGAAAATCGATCTAGAGCAAACTAAATCTATATATTGTAATGATACATGTATACAAAAGCAATTCAGGCATCAACTATACATATTGCATGGTCAATGAATTTAACGGTATTATTGTTAGTGTTAATTTATTTATTTATTTATTATAAGTGGATTTTAGGAGCCACATTTAATTGTGTGTGTGTATATATTGGGTAAGAAAACCCGGAGAAAATATAGATATAGGTATAGGTGCAGATATAGATATAAATATATACAGGTATAGATATATATAGATATAGAGAGAGTGGTTCTAATGAGAACACTCCTTATTGTGAGAAATAAGAACAATCTCAATCATAATATAGATCTTAGTAAATTAATGGCTTGGAAATTAGTGGATGCATCATTATACGGTGGGAGTGCAAGTACCTAAAAAATAACCATAAGCTCCCTATTCAAACGTAGATTAGATAAAGGACACCATAGTAATTTAAAAAAAAACATACCATTGTCATCTCCATAAAACTAGGTAATAATAGAACTCAAATAATATAAAATTTCTTTAGTTTAAAAATTGATTTAATTTTTTGTATGATAATCCGATTTTAACAAAAATTATACCAAATTAAATAACTTTTTATGATCTTTCATATGACACCATTATTGCCTATATAATTTTTCAAAATAAAATATGTATAAGATGTATACAATAAAGCACAAGAAACATATTCAGCTACCTCATGCACAAGAACGTGTATCTAATACACAATCACCAATATCTAATGCATATGAATTGATCTCATACTTAATAATAGCTACCAAAAAGTTCAGCAAAAAAAAGTGAAACCTTTCATTTACGAAGTATAATATATACGAACCAATATCTAATGCACTAGAGAGTTATACATATCATACATGTATATAAGGCACAAAAACCGGTATCCAATGCATAACGTGTATAACAAAAAATAATTATCGAACCCATAAAGATTTCATATAGTACACATGAACTAATATCTAAAGCACAATATGTATATACGTTACAAGACTCGTATCTAGCACATAGTATGGACATAACGAATCACAACAAGTATAATTTTGTTTTTAAAAAATAAGTATAATATGTGTACAATTAACCACATGAAACATGCATCTTCAGCTATGCGTGCACATGAAGATGTATCTGACACACCAGCACTAATATATAACGCACAAGAATCATTATCTAACACACAATACGTATAAGAAAAACTAAAAGAAGTATCTTAAGCACAAAATGCAATATCTAATGCACAAAAAACAATATTTGACACAAAATAATTAAAAACTAATTAATATCTAACACATTAAAATTTCACACAATTTAAACTAATACATAACACACAAGAATCAATATCTACTTAATGCACAATACGAATATACACCCTCAAACCAGTAGTATGTATAAGAATACCTAACATACTACGTATAATATATATAGTGATCGTAAGTATTTACTGCACAAGAATCAGTATTTTACAAACAAAAACCAATATTTAATGCACATGAATCAAGCATCTTTCTATTAGCTAGGATATATTTAACACACTAGAATTGGTATTTGATGCACAATAAATGAATAGAAAATAAATTATAGTTTAATGGAGAAGAACGTGAATGAATGACTAATTAAATAAAAAGAAATGATAATTTATTTCTATAATTAGATAACTCAATTGATGTGACAATAAAATAGAAACATTTATTGTTATATGAATAAGTCAATTGACGGAACACATTGATGGAAGGAAAGTTGTTCTTTCCATCATGGAGAACTAAAAGATCGGTTCTTCAAATAAATAAAAAATTGAAAGTTCGGTCCATGCGATTGCCAAAATAGAAGAAGACGTAAATTTCTTTACTACTACATATTTGATCACAGATCGTTACTAATTTTGAAGGACCAGGATGTGTTCTCACTTCTCACGTTAAGACTTATTCTTATTTGAACCAAAATCTAGATATAGATATATAGATATAGATACAAATAATGACAATAGTAATACTATCCTCCATTTTTTTATTTGCAACATGTTAAATTTTACACTATTCACATGTTGTACTTTGGCCACATTTTTATTTAATAATTTGTGAGAATTTGTTTTTAAAATATATTATTCAATTCGTCTCATTACAAATTTTCAATATCTTTTCTTAAAACTTTTTTTACTAATCGAGAATAAGATATATTTGGTCAAATGTGTGTGTTGGCAAATGTGCAAAGTAGACTGTTGCAACTAAAAAAGAACGGAGGAAGTAATAATAAGAATATTCATAATTAATTATTAGAAAAAATTCCGCTTTTAGTCCCATGACTATTACACCACTTCCACATTTAGTCTCTTACTTTCATATTGTCCACATTTAGTCCGTGACCATTATCCCCTCACCACCCCTCGTCCTTCTGGCCAAAATTCCGGCAAATTTAATGCAGATTTTAGGTATGAAAAATCAAATTTAATGCAAAGACTAATATGAAAAAAACCAACCTGATACAAAATTAAATGCAAAGACTGATTCAAAGGCTGAGAAGTGGACTAAATTTGCCGGAATTTTGGCCGGAAGGACCGAGGATGGTGAGAGGATAATGGTCACGAACTAAATGTGAACAATCTATTAATATATAAAAGGAAAAGATTTCTTGGAATGGAACTTGAAGCCCAAAAGTGTCCACATAAAGTAAAACAACTCCCTAAATGGCAAACAAAAAACAGTATTGTGAAATTAAAGATATTTTCGGAATAATTTATGTGTGAAGACGTTCCAAGTGGACAAGTGGTGGATATAGTACTGGTGGATTCAGTAATGTTGATTACACTTAGACGAATGTAATGTAGGGATGAAGTAGTGGCTACAGTGATATGGATTACACATTCCCATGCTAAAAGATAATACGTACAGTATTGTTGATTACACATACTCATGCTTGGACGCAACGCCCACAGCTTAGGGGAAAAGTTTTTTTCTGAAGGTCCCACACACATTGAAATGAATATAAAAATACAAATATATTGATGAAGATATAAGAGCCCAATGTCACCAAAGTGCAGTATCTTACCCGTACAGGTAGCTCAGTTGGTTCAGCGGTGTGAAATTTGGATCAAGTGACCAACGATCGAAACCTGCAGCGGCCGTGTGAAGGTCACGGAACCTGAAATAAGGTTTGTGCCTCTGATGCGCACGGGAAAAAGGTCTACCATCATTGGGCTGAATGAGTCACCATGATTAACACCCTCTCAAAAATCCTGTCGGATCGAAGTATGGGGGGCTCCTGGGGTGGTAGATTCCACCTTTTGGACAAAGTACAGTATCTTAATAAATCTTATGCGTGTAGTTTATTCTTTGAGTTTTCCTGACATGGCTCATGCTTGCAGGTTCCCATGCATGTTTTTAGGCAACCAAATTTATAAATGAAAACTTTGGCTATAAAAGCATAGTTGTATCGAATGGTTGCATCACACTTGCTCACTGCAAAACGCTCCCACAACAAGCTCTCACAGCAAATTGTAGAATTTTTCTCCCAAAATGGTTGAAATGTGATCTCTACTCCAAAACCACAAGAGAAATGAAAGCAATTGAAATTAGGGTGTTAGGATGCACAGGGAGCCTGCTCATTATGGTCCCAATTCACTAGAAATAAGATTTCATGATGAGGTTATGTATAAAGGTTCATATTTGTGTCTTCTTATAAAGTTATTTCATTGATAAAAAAATCTATAGGTGTCAAAGCTACATGCTTACATTTCTAAGCAATTCATTACGAAATTTTATGAAAATTTTGTACTACCTCTGTTCCTATTATAACTTCTAAATTGGTTTGGCACACAATTTAAGATAGTGGGTATTGTGTGGTTGAGAGTTGTGCACAGGAGAGAGAAATGTTGTGAACCACAAATTCTTTAACAAAAAAAGAAAGTGGAAGTTTTAATTGGAACAGACGGAAAAGGAAAGTTGGAAGTTATAATAGGAACGGAGGGAGTAATAATGATTTTGTAATAGTTAGTTTTCAAGCACATGTACTCTAAAAATGTAATTATTTTGTAATTTTGATCATTCGTTGGTTTATATGCTATAAAAGAAAATGCAAGTACAAGCATAACTAAATCACAAAAATAAAAAGGCAGTCTTAGAAACATATTTGTGCTCTCTGCTGCTCCCTTCTAATTATTAGATTACAAACTTTACAAATTGGTATAAAAATGGATCCACTTAACAATACAGTGTGAATGTATTGTTTAAAATAGAGTAGAAATGTTTAAATTTATTAAATAAGATATACAAATTCCTAGGCGTTCCTTTCTAATATGAGATTGTAAAATTTCTACATAGGTTTTCAATGTGAATGTATTGTTAAGTAATCTGAAAGCTTGAAAGATGAATACAGGCAATGTGAATGTATTGTTAAGTAATCTGAAAGCTTGAAAGATGAATTCAGGCAATGTGACGCACAAAATCAGAACACGAAATAGTCAGATCAAACCAAAACAAACGCACGAAACGAACATAAGGAAGAAAACCTTGCCGGGATGCCTTCACATTATGCAATCACACATCGAGGTGGCGGACAACACCAGGAACCCAGGTCGTGCTCAAACCATGGAAACAAACGTCACTATCCTCAAGCCCGAAATTTCTTCACCAACGCCTTCCATTGCCGGCAAACAACACCCTCGGATAGCAGGAGTTCAGCCTTCCCTCTCCCCCAACCAGATCTTGTTCCAGGACGCAGGGTAAGCACCGGAGAAGTCCAGATTTTCCTCGCACCTTCTCTCTCTAATTTGGACGCGAAAAGACGACTGGTGCTGATATTAAGGCCAACATTCTTATTCTTCGGCCTTATTGTGTCTGAGGCAGTGCGACATTCTTTGGGCTGGACCATTTGAGAGCCCACTTGACCCAAGATGTGTTTTTATTCACCATTATCTCTTTGCATTTTTGGATTTGGGGCTAGGCCTATACCCCAGTTCGTATATCGTGGGATCATCCAACGGTGAGCATGGTGCTCCACTTCCAAAACGACGTAGCTTTACCCAATTTTTTTTTTAAAAATCGCGTGAACACTACACGCGTGAACAGTACACGCGTGTACAGTAACTGTTTTTTCTTTCTTTTTGTCCCAGTAGCATGAATGGTGTAACTCGCGAGTAAAGATATGTAACTTACGTTATTGATTAATGTAACTCAAGTGCATTCGAAATGTAACTTGTCAAATACATAGTATTAAAAATACAATATTGATTTCAATGTAAACAATGAAAAAAAGAGAGTCTAATTTCACAATTGCTTTACGTAAATTGTGAATATGTTTTATTTTTAATATCATGACCATAAAAAATATTTTTTTTAAAAAAATATTTTTTTTGTTTCAATAGCAGGGGTTGATTTTTTAATGTAACTCATGTTATTACAAATGTAACTCGTGTTGATGGCAAATATAACTTAGATGTATATAGAATGTAACTTGTTGAAAAATTGAACATTTTTTTTGTATGTGTTTAAGAATAATATATATGTCATAAACATTGATTTCAATGAAAACAATGAAAAATTGATCCTAATAGGTTAATTACTTTTTTTAAATAGTGAATATGTTTTATGTTTAATATTAGGGCTATAAAAATGATATAGCAGGGGTTTATTCCGTGGTGTAACTCACATACACTAAGATGTAACTCGCGTATATTAAGATGTAACTCGCATACATTAAGATGTAACTTGCCCAAAAGAAGATGGAATTTGTTTTAATATGAATACCCAAAGCCCATCAATTAGATTGAGTTGCTCCAATATCACGTTTACTCTGTAAATGATATACCAAAGCATCAAAATTGAACCAGCAGATAGCAAACGTTTAACATCTCCGTATAAAATTTGATTTTTCTATGGAAATTTCCAGATCTCTAGCCATCTCCGTATACATCGTACAAAGAAGGAATCACTGCTCTAAATTCGGTGCTCTGTGATAAGCTATTTGGCCGTTTCTATGTGTCTCGCAAACCAAAGTCGGTGATTGGGAAGTGGGAAAGGAAGGGGGTCGTCGTCGCTGAAAAATAAGAACAATGTGTTGCTCTGTTTTTTAATTGCAAAACGCTGCCGTATGGGGATCGACACACCATGCGCATCATGGGCCGATCCCACGGTATAATTTGCGCTATACCCTCCCCTTTATTGTATATCCGTTCTTAATGAACTAGGTAAGTGTTCCTCGACTATAATTCAAATAGGCTGAATCGACTGATTCTACTAAAATTCTTAAAGTTCTAGAGTTGAAATGGATGCATTAGCTGATTGTGTTGATATATGAAAAAAATTGTATTTAAAATACTTATAATTAATAAAATAAATAAATAATCACCATAAATATGGATATAAAAGTAATTATTGAACATAAGTAACATGATTTAAAAGTAATTTACAAAAATAAGACTAAAATTACATATGTCATTGTCACATGATGTGAAAATTGACCATAAGTTACATGATTAAAATAACTACTATAGTCACTACACTTAAGAGTTCACGTTTTCATAAACAATCTTTATTTTAGTCATAATTATGTAATTATTTCAAAAACAAAATGCAAAAATACCTAAATTTGTCTTATATAATAGTAGAATGTCCTATCTGTACATTTCCCTATAAATTTGTACTGCATATTTAAGAATAGTTTAAGAATAACATAACATAATTTCACATATTTGCACCTTCTCTGATTTGCCTGTTTACAGAGGCAATTCGTCTAAAATGTACGATCACCCTACTATTTAGTCATTAATTACTGAATTAGTCATAAATGTAAGGTCGGGGTCGGGGTTTTCAGTGTTGCTGTCAAGGAAAGGTGGTCTTGCCTTTTATGAAAGAACCGCCTTTATTCCTATCTGAATTGATTCATGGTTCCGATGAGCATAGCAAACATTTCATTGGAAACATCAAAACATACAACAACATGTTTTCGTTCACCTCAATGGTCAGTAAAGTTGCACAAAATGTCAACAAGGGAAAATCTCCGCCAATTTTTAAACTACATGGGCAGAATTATCACCTGATCGAGAGCATGTTGCCTCCAACTGGATCAAATCCTAAGTTTGCACAATTGTATATCTATGATACGGAAAATGAGGTTCAAAATAGAGTTTCATCTGTTGGGTAAGAAGGGTCTACATTTATTTCAGAGTACTTTATATAATGGTTTTATAAATCTAATTCTTCTTCATTTGTTGCAGTGTTGATAGTAGGAGAAGGAAGTTACACGAAGCTATAGTTGTTGGGTTGACTAAGATGCTTTTGAATAGTATAAAATTATCCGGTGTACAGAATCATGAGTTAACGTTAAAGGTAGGGACTCCGGTGATGCTTTTGCGAAATATAGATCATTCAATGGGGTTGTGTAACGGGACTCAGGTTATTCTAACGAGGCTCGGTGATCATGTTTTGGAGGGGAAGATTTTAACTGGTGTCAGTGCTGGATAAAAAGTATTAATTCCTAGATTGTCCTTGACCCCCACCCGATGCCAGCTTGCCTTTCAAATTTCAAAGGTGACAATATCCTTTTATGACTCCATATGCTATGATTATAAATAAAAGTTAATGTCAATCTTTGTCCCGTGTTGGGTTGTTGTTGAAAAAAACGGTATTTACATAGGCACAATTACATGTTGCAGTATCAAGGGTTACTGATAGTTATGGTTTGAAAATTCTAATTGTTGATGAAGATGAAGGAACCACTGACAAGACTCAAAATGTTGTATTCAAAGAAATGTTCAACAATGTTTAGGTTTACATGAAATGCATATTTACAATGTTATGGTTTCTACGTATTTGTTGGATGTTTTTTACGTAGTATCTTTTAAGTAATGGTTAGTGCTCTCTTTTTAACCATAATATTATACGTGTGTTTCGTTCATTGCTTTGATCTATATCAGTATTCCATGGAGACAGATGTTGTCATCAATTGATAGTGTAATTTCAATTAGTGAGCACAAATAAATTTGAAAGAAAAATTCTCCGACCGTGCATCGCACGGGTGAGTTTACTAGTCTGAAAGTAAAAGACTAAATGTGGAAGTGGTATAATAGTCATGAGACCAAAAGTGAATTTTTTTCTTGATTATTATGAAAACAACCTACAATAAGAACATATGAATAATAATATAGTGTATCAACACCATTATTTTTTAAATATTAATAGTAACAAATTATGCTTATATATTTATAATAACATACAAATAATAATAATAATAAGTGAATAATAATCATAATATTAATGACAACAATAATAATAACAATAAATGAATAATAATCATAATATTAGTAATAACAGTAATAACAGTACACTAGTACTCCCTCCGTCCCCCAATTAAGTTCCCGGTTTGACTTCACACGTATTAAGAAAATAAATTTGACTTTATTGTGGAGTGCACTGTTTTGCACTGTTCAAACATTGTTTGACACTGTTTGGCACTGTTTGCACTATTTGACACTGTTTTGATGTAAATAATTTGCCAAATAAGGAAAGTAAGGAAGTGTGAACTTAATTTAGGGACTACCCGAAAAGGAAAGTGGTAACTTAATTGGGGGACGGAGGAAGTATATAATACTCCGTAAATTACTACTCCCTCCGTCCCATTTTGATAGTCTCATTTCTTTTGGGCACAAGTTTTAATAAAGTGGTTGAAAAAGTAAAAGTTGTGGTTGAGATTTGAGTATAATAAAGTGAAATGATATGGACCACATCTTTCTTTCCAAAAAGGGAAACCAGACCATCATTTTGGGACACCCCTAAAAGGAAATACAGGACTATCATTTTGGGACGGAGAGAGTACTTATGTTTGAACTTTTTCGATGTGAATCGAATGTTTCTAGACTTTTTTTATCTAATTAGATTCTTTTTTATTGAGGAAACAGTTCAAATACATCAACTAGTATGAGGTGAAGTAAAGCGTACGTCATGTTGAATCTGATATTCGTAATTACACAAATTCCGTTTCTAATATGAATTGAGTACACAGGTAGATTAACTCGTTAATACGTCCGAGTCAACATCCTTGTCCATGCACCTGCAGGTCGATGCCCCCACATGTCGAAGCAGGCCCGGTCCCGACATTTTATGGGTCCGGGACATTATAGATAGAGTAGGCCTTAGGGATAATGTATGAATGTTTATATTTTTTATTTTAAAAAAACTATAAGTAAAATTGAGCAATTTTATTATATAAATATAAGTATAACACATCAAAGAAATTAATAAATGAGACGGTTAGAAAGATTATATTTAAATATTTGGTTAGTGACATCCGAGAATACTATGTAACTAAACCGGCCTAATTAATGGAAAAGTAGTACAATTTGTATTTGCCATAAAGAATTTTGAATTAGGGAAACATGTGAAAGTTATTACTTATATGAAGAAAAATTTTCATATTTCAAATCACATTTATTAATTCTTTCATTTCATGAGAGAATTAAAAAAAATAGCAAAATACTACGAAGTATCAAATGAATTATGAGTTTACATGAGAGAAGTATATAAAAAATTAACATTTATGCGTTAACTCTTAATGAATCAAAAGAAATGATGAAGTTTGTTTCCAATGAATTGTAGTGTTGATGTTTAATTTCAAAATTTTAAATTTGTAGTTTGTAGATGTTTTTGAATAATGAATTAAAAGTATAAGAAAATTATAAGTGAATTTTTAAATTTTTTTATAGATATATAATTAAAATAAAAATGCATATATATAACTGGAAAATTTATGAGCCTAACGGCCCGAAGTCAATTGGCCGTTACCTTTTTTTATATCTGATTTGATCAAATCAAATAATTTGATTTGCGTTTTTTTTAATGATATATATGCATAGAAATAAGCACACGAACACCGGCACCTTACTTTAGAAAGGTAACAAAGATTCGGTCACCGTCGTGGAGGTTGCTCTAACTCTTTCCCCCACGTCACCATATGAAATCTACCCCTGCACCACATTTCCGTTTTCTTTACGTCGTCGCCGAAGGAAAGTAGAGAAGAGACAAAGACCCGCAAACGACGCACACCTTGAATTCAATCTCTCGCTCTCTCTGTAATTTGGTGACTACTGCTACTTGTATTCCTCCCTTCTCTCCACCTGTTCAACCCCTTCATTTCTCCCACGTCAGAATTCATAATAATTAAATCCCACAAAACACAACCAACAGGCTGAATCTTTTCATTCTCCAAGATATGGGTTCAGCAAGACTCAAAGTTTTGGTCTTTATGACGTGTTGGTTTTTGGTTTCAGGTGCGGATTTTGCTCTGGGGAGCTTTGTAATAGAGAAGAACAGCATAACTGTGGTTTATCCCTACCATATGCGGGCAAATTATAATGCTTCCATTGGGAATTTCGGAGTTCCTGACTATGGGGGCTCTTTGGTTGGAACAGTTGTGTATGCTCAACAGGGTGCGTCTGGGTGCTCTGTATTTGAGGGTGATAACCCATTCAAGTCCAAAACTCGTCGTCCCACTATTCTTCTTCTTGATCGGGGAGGTATGAAAATGCTTGTCTTTTTATGTGTTTTGTATGAGCATATGAAAAAATTGCCATCTCTTTAAGTTGTTAAAATTGAAATATGCTCTTTCTTTCCGAAAGTAGTAACTTTGTTCTCCGTTTGTTGTTTTCCATTAAGAAAAGTATCAGTATCTTATATCACAAAAGACGTTTTAAAGCTTATACAGGATGCTAACAGGTGGACATTTTCGGTCATATTACATGAGAAATTAGCTTCGCCTGAGCAATTGTAGACTTCTTTTTTGTTTTATTTTATGAAAAAATTACTGTATAGTGAAGTGAAACATAGGTCATGAGCACAAGTAGAAGTAGTCTTGTTTTGTGATTTAATTAATGCTCATTCAGTACTATATAAATGTATTGAAAAGAATAAAGGTTGTTAATAGTTCCTAACTTCCTATTAGGAGTGAACAGGTGCTATATTAGGAAATATAAACTATGGTCCTACTTGTAGAATTGTATTGTGAGTACGTTTTAAACCTGTTTTATGGAATTTTTCTTTTTTTATGTGGACCAAAAGATTTGTTGAAACAAAACCTTTTTTAGGACGGAAGGAGTAATAATTTGTATTCTTTCTGGAATAAGCTGCTTACTGGTGCAAAGGTGAGACTGGGCATATGTCAACACTCTTTGCTCTGTTTTTTATTGTGTTATTTTTATACCAAAGTTTATCGTGGCTCTGTGAGTTCATATATACATGCTAGTTTAATCAGTATGCTTGGGTTCATATACTTATACCAGGTAACTTAAAAGTTGCAGTTGTGAGCACCATTTAACTTTAAGTCTTACATAAATAGAAGAATTATATTTCACGATTTATCAATTAACATCTGTAAAAATTTCCATCCCCAGAATGTTATTTTACTTTGAAGGTCTGGAATGGACAACAAGCTGGAGCTGCAGCAGTTTTAGTAGCGGATACCTATAATGAGCCATTGATAACCATGGATTCACCTCAAGAAAGATCAGATACAGATGAATACATAGAGAAGATTGGAATCCCATCTGCTCTGATCGAGCGGTCCTTAGGTGACACCTTGAAGGCTGCTCTGAAGCAAGGTGATGAAGTTGTGATTAAAATGGACTGGACGGAGTCTATGCCCCATCCTGACGAGCGGGTTGAGTATGAACTATGGACCAATGGTAATGATGAGTGTGGAACTCGCTGTGAAGAACAAATGAGTTTCATCAAGAACTTTAAGGGGCATGCTCAGGTTCTTGAAAAGGGTGGTCATACTATGTTCACGCCTCACTATATGACCTGGTTCTGTCCTACGGCTTTTGTTTCCAGCAGCCAATGCAAATCCCAGTGCATAAACCGTGGTAGATATTGTGCACCTGATCCAGAGAATGATTTTGGGGGAGGGTATGAAGGAAAAGATGTAGTCTTTGAGAACTTGAGGCAGCTATGCGTGCACAGGGTTGCGAATGAGACTGGAAAATCTTGGGTTTGGTGGGATTACGTCACAGATTTCCACATCAGGTGTTCCATGAAGAACAACCGATACAGCAAAGGTTGTGCAGAAGAAGTTATGAAATCTCTCGGTAACTAGTGCTTCCTCAAGCTTAGGGATGTTCAATATTAGAGGACAAGAAAATTACACAACATTGAAGTTTTTTGTTTGTTTATATCTTATCAGACCTGCCTATTGAGAAGGTAAAGAAGTGCATGGGTGATCCTGAAGCTGATGTGGAAAATCCTGTCATGAAAAGGGAGCAAGAAGCACAGGTTCACTCGATTCCTCTGCATATTTCCATTTCTAGTATGACACTAGTTGTTAATATTAAAAGATTGCATAGATTCTTATTTCTAAGTTTAATGCTTCATCTCTTAAAATTTCACAAAAAAGGTCACTACTAATAGACATATACTCCAATCTCACCGGAAGGAAACAATCAAATAATCAATCAATACAAAATCGAAAAATCAATTGAAGGATCAAACTAAGTATGATTTGCTAAAACAGAATATTTAGCAATAGATCATGATATCAGAAATAGTTGATTATTAATGATATTGTACCTTAGCTTCATATTGTGATAGATTATATAGATAAGAGATTCCTTGAGCATAGCAGCCTAGCAGGTATTGAGAAATTAAAAGCCTTTGAGTCTCTTCAGAGTGGGGCAGCCCTAGGCTGTTGGGCAAGTTAGTTTTGCTAAGAAATGCCTTCTGGTAATTCATGTTCTTTTATTTCTTCTTCTATACTGATGTTTTAATTTTTATTTCAATGTTATTAAAATGTCATCTTCTTTCTTGACTATTTGTCTCCTTGCCTCTTTACTCTATCAATTATCAACCATTGTTTTCTTTTTTTCTTTTTATTTATTTATTTTACTTGAAGTGCGGGAAGACCAGTACGGCAGTACTATGCATACGCCTCTTAAAGTTATTTTCTGTTTCATTTGTTTAGGCTGGCCGAGGATCTCGTAGTGATGTCACTATATTGCCTACAGTGGTTATCAATGATGTCCAATATAGAGGTTTGTTATGGATTTTTACGTTAGCTTTTTTGTTTAGGGAAGTGCTTTTAGCACACTTTATGTAATACAGTAATACCCTCTTTTATGCCAAGCTTAACTGCTTCACATCATCTAGACTCAATGATTGGAACAATATACTAATCAATACTTACCGTCCGAAGGTATGGATCATGACAAGTAAGCTTTGTGCAAAAAAGCGTAAAATATAGATGGTAAAAAGTAGGTAGTAGTAAATCTGGGTGCTGTTGAGCAATGAAAATATATATTCTAAAAATCACATCTGCTTTGCGAAGGTAAACTTGAGAGAACTGCTGTGTTGAAAGCCATCTGTGCTGGGTTTAAAGAGACAAGTGAACCTGCAATTTGCCTTAGAGGAGGTTTGCTTTGATCTTGACTGATAAGATTCTTTGGTCATTTAAGACAGGGGTGATTTATTGTTTTCACTGACAAGCAGATATTGAGACAAATGAGTGTCTTGAGAGGAATGGTGGCTGCTGGAATGATCCAAAATCTAACATAACAGCCTGCAAGGTAAATGAATGCTCTTCTGTTGCGGCATGCTAATCGCTTCATTTCTATGAATATGGTGATGATTTGTGAAATGCTCATCCACCCTGACTAACAAACTTATATTTTTATTCAAGGACACTTTTAGGGGAAGAGTTTGTCAGTGCCCTTTGTTTAATGGTGTTCAGTTCAAGGGTGATGGGTATACATCATGTAAAGGTACAGTCTCTACCTGGAATGCTAAAATTGCATTTGAAATCCTTAGTATAAATGCAACCCAGCCCGCCAATAGTAGTACTCTTGCACCGTGCTTTGTGTAATGGAAAAAAGTCAAGTTTTCTTTGCTTGAGGTTGGCATAAAGTAAGAATAAAAGACAAGCATTAAAATAAACCTTTTCTTCATTAGCCTTAACCTTTTTTCTTTTGGATTTTTCCCAAAGCTGTTGGACCGGGAAGGTGCATGATAAACAATGGCGGCTGTTGGTCAGAATCCAGAGAGGGAGCAACATTTTCTGCTTGCTCAGTTCAGTGATGTGATCCTTTCCTTAAATCTCCTATCAGTTTTCAAACTTCAATATATTTTGATGATCAAGTATTTGTTTAATGCAAAGTAGGAAGCTCTTGTTATTGGATGCAAATGTCCTAAGGGCTTTCGAGGTGATGGCCATAAATGTGAAGGTACTCTCACAATTACATCACTGATCAAACAACTTATCATATACGCAGTATCAAACAAAATTGTTGTAGGCATCTATATATTTGATCATGTGACAGATATAAACGAATGCAAGGAAGGCAAAGCTTGTCAGTGTGAGGGTTGCACCTGTAAGAACACATGGGGTGGATATGATTGCCAATGCAAGGCAGACAAATTGTATATAATGGAGCATGACACCTGTTTTGGTAAAGTTATAACGTTTTATTCCACCGATAAATGCATGGGAGGAGTCATTATGCATCATGAATACATGACGCATAATCTTCTGGATTCAACCTTTTCATGATTTAATGTGATGGCCAAAGTGTCTTATGACCTTGTTGAGCAACCCCATCTAATCCTGAATCCTATCACATTCGCATATTATCTAAATTAACGTTGTACATACTGTGCGGGCTGATTTATTTTGTTTCTTGTATATACACAGATAGATACTCCTCCAAGCATCGGCGATTCATCGCTTTTGTGGTTATGGCTGTTGCACTGGGTGCTGGCATAGCTGGATACATATTCTACAAATACAGATTTAGGGTATGTGTAACGATTTTAGTCACACTTACCCAATCAACATTATAGTCCACGTGTTATAACAAACTTGTATTGATGTTGCTCCCTTTCTTGCCTGCAGTCGTACATGGACTCGGAGATTATGGCTATCATGTCCCAATATATGCCACTTGACAACAACCATCAGAATCAGGTTATCCATCATGGTGAGCCTTTACGGGAGCACACATCCGTGTGAAGAAGGTCTGGTTTGGCTACCTTCCCTTTCGAATTCATTATTGTTTGTACCTTTTATGAACAAGAATGCATATAAATTTTTCCAACGAACGTAACAACCTGAAGATAGTGACGAAATCTTATGTGAAGTAGTTGAGGAAAACAAGATTAGTTACACAGAACTCCGTTTCTGTATTGCGAAGGTATAGGATATTGGACAGAGAAGATGTATGTTACTGATACTTGTAAATTGTACTAATGCATTTCTATAAAGTAAAAACCATACTTTTGTAATTTGTTTATTTATATGGAGTTTTCCTTTAGAATTTTAATTAATATTTCAAAATGCTATTCAAATTGGGACAAAATTATGGGCAGAAATGTGACTCAAGGTAATGGATTTGGAAAACGTCAATGCCTATTTATTATGTCCTTTGCAATTTATTACTCCGTATGCCACTGCCACTTTCTATTGTCATTTACGTAAACCGCTGTGTCTTTCAATAATTTATTAAACTTACTTCCTGATTGAATTTGAAGCTGATATTTTGTGGAGATGTTCTACATTTCATGAAGGACATGCTCAAAAAAATTCATAAAACAAATTGACCCGAAAGGCCCTCAAACGGGCTTGGCCGGACGTCGATTCCTGCCAGTCCGGTCTGACCAGACCATTACTCCTACTTGTATAGTTGTAAATATATATGTATATCAGTATATATGTGTACTTTTTCATACTATTATTCTTTTCTTTTTAGTTGCAACACAGATTATTTTACACTATTCACATGCTCTCTTTAACTACATTTTATTTATTAATGTATGAGAATTATTATTTTTTTTGAAAAATACTATTGAATTCATCTCATTGCAAATTTTCATAATATATTTTCAATTTTTTTTACTAATACCTAAGGAGCATCCAGAGATAATGAGTGATTTCCGCACAATAACTTTGTCTATGGTGATTTATTTACATTTCTCCAATGTCCTTGCAAATTGTATGAAAACTATTTTGAGGGGATTGCATTTATGCAAATCTAAGTGAGTTTATTCCTGGGCGATCTATTCGAGATGATATAATGATAGCTTTTAAAACTCAACATTTCTAAAAGAGAAAGACACAAGATAAGGTGAGATTTGTGAAACTCAAACTCAACATGAACAAGGCATATAAAATTATAATAGGATGGAACAATCATTCTTGAAGGGGGTTCATCCAACATTTGAGGTATGCAGAGAACTGAATCATTTTAAATAAATTTAAGATTACGTTTTGGTTACAATGTAAATGAGTAGTCTCACTCATTAACATACAAGCATTACGTAAGTTCTATCAAGTCATTTTTAAAGTATGTGGCTAAAAAAACATCAGAATAAGAAACAGTAATACTCCCTCTGTCCCGGAATTATCTTCATTCTTTCCTTTTCGGTCCGTCTCAAATTTATCTCCTTAATCCCTTTTTGGTAAAGAATATGTGGTTCACAACCATTCTTACATATTTCTCTCTCCTCTGCATAACTCTCCACCACACAAATCTCACTATTTTAGAACCCGTGCCCGGTCAAAACCGGAATTAAATATGGGACGGAGGGAGTATATATAAGCGCAAAAATGGCAAAATATACCTCAATTTTTGGTTAAATTATGTCTTATATAAGAAACAAATAAGGTATATTTCGTATTAAATTATGGTTAAACACAATTTTATGGTTTACAGTTTTATGTCACTTTCTCACTTAAATCTATTTAAGTAATAAGTGTATGACACCCAAGCTATTTAGACATAAGAACCTAAGGTGTGGAGAAGATTCTTTAGAGAAAACTAACATAATGACACAATTAACGACTCCCATTGTCCCTAAATTGACTCGCAAAGTACATTTCGCACGTGAATTATGATAGGATGTATTATATGGTGTAGAGTTGTGCAGATGAAAGAGAAATGTGTAATAAGAATGTGTAAGAATTGTTGTGAACCACAAATTCTTTACCAAAAATGAAAAGTGAAAGTTTGTTTGAGATGCCTAAAAGGAAAATTTGGAAGTTTAATCAGGGACAGAGGGAATCAGAGGGAATCGTTAAAGAGACAAAGTTTTCTTAAAAGTGAAAACCATTGATATGTGCTTATTTCTAATTCCTACCCAATTACACTCCTCGCCCCACTGCCCCACCACCTCCTCCAACAAGATCTACTGCAAACCGCTATTGTCGATTGTCACGGGAAATTTCGCTAGATTTTTTTTCTTAGTTTTTTTAGATTTTGCTGAAAAAAATCATTGTAAAAGTTTTCAAGTTGTAACAATCACATGTTTCACGAATGCAGTGACGTCTGTGGCGGTGACAGTAACATTTGTAGTGACACTCAAATTTGGCAGTGATATAATAATATGATAGTGACATCCACGTTTATTCTAAATTTATTACGTAAGTCGCATTTTTGTCATATGCAAAAAGTAGTAATTTATTTGGAAATAGGCTTAAATTTAGTCATATTTTAGAAACAAACCCTTTTTATGAAAGAGAAATTACATTAATCACAAAATACTTTTTTTGATTAGATTATTTTGAAAACGAAAAAGGAAATAGTGAAATTAAAAATAGGACAATAATGCGATTAATACACTAATAATAAGTAATACTTTCTCAGTTTGTGTGGCTCTAAATCATTCTTATTTTTTTTACTTTCTTGAATTCAATATCTACTACTAGGGGTGGACTCGGGCCGGGCCAACCGGCCCGGAACCGGACCGGCCCGGAACCGGACCGGCCCGGGAACCGGTTCGTTGGGCGGTTCGGGCCACCCGGCCCGGTGGATTCTCGGTTCGGGCTCGGGCCCTTCAAAAGGTGAACCGGCCCGGCCGGTTCGGGCCCGGGCCGGGCCAATTTTATTTTATTTTTTGATTTTTTTTGAGTTTTTGGGTTGGGCTGGTTATTTTGGGCCATTTGAGGTGGTTAGGGTTGGTTTGGGGGTGAGGAGGAGGGGTGGGGGTTAACTAGGAAAAGCCCCCCAAAAAAAAAAAATACCCGAGGCCCGGCCCGGCCCGGCCCGGACTCGGGGGTTACCCGGGCCGGTTCCGGGCCTCCCCTTCTTGAACCGAGGCCCGGCCGGGCCCAGGCCCGAACCGGGCCCGAACCGGCCCGAGTCCACTCCTATCTACTACTCCATTCTTGAATAAAATGGTGGAAGGTCGCATTCTGAAATCTCAACAGAGATTGTCTGACTTCATCGTCTGTTTTCACCTTACTTCTCTCAGATTCTCTCACAATGGTGTCTTCATATGCTTTGTAGCCCTTGAAGTTGGCTTTCATATGAAACTTCAATCATGTTTTTTGGATGTTCCTAAGAAAAGATATGCTCGAACGATTGACAGAACGTCATCCCGACCATTGTTTTCAAGCTCTATTCGTCTTCTTTTGATCCCGTAGCCAATTCTAGAGCTCTTTTGTCTTCAAAACTTTGTCTTTAACACCTCACTTATCTCCAATGCTCCTAATCAACTCTAAAATGCTTTTCAACTCGTTCCTATTGCTTCTCAAACACCGGTGGTGTCAGGCTCAAATTCCCTGATTTTGACTCCAAAAATACCAAAACTCGAACCAACGGCCGGTAAATATGACTTGAGCTTAAAATTGAGACTTATGACACCTTAAATTTAGGAAAAAACTATCAAAAGCCGATCTCAACACGCATCAACGTCCAACACAGACTGCTAATTGGCTACTGTATATATGCCTCACTGCCCGCCGTCGACATGGGTCCTTGGTTAGTGAATCAACTAAGTCTCTTCAGCTCTTCTCTCTGAGTCTCGTTCTTGAAGTCTCTTAATACTTTTACAAGTACAAGTTTGCCTTGTGTTTTGAATAAGTTTGCATTTTAAAATTTATCCTTTTGAATTCTACAAACATTATATCGTGGACTTTGCATATGTTTTTTTTTCATAAGGCGATTTTTATTCAATTTATCTGATTTTAAAAGTGATTTGTACATAGTAAATATTTTTCGTGTGGGGCCTCCAAAATGCTCAAGCCGCCTCTAGAACGACCCCAGAAGGCCCAAGGCAACGAGATATCCTACATCCAGGGGACATACGTAGGTTTTATAGTCCATCATCCAGGGGACGTACGTCCCCAGAGGGCCCAGTTAAGTATCAGCCAGAGTTCCCAGACGCCAGACGCTCGTCGGCCAGAGGCCAGATGCTCATCCCCAAGAAGACTTCGCAGAGACAGATTCATGCTTAGTCAAGTTCTATGTATTGAGCCTAATAGAAGTCTTATATTGTAATGGGCCTCCCAAGCCCAAGGCTTGAGAGCCCAACCCACTTTTCTCCTATAAATACTCCTCCTTGGGAGCCATGTAAAGGGTTGGAAATTCATTTATACACATCACTTCTCTCTCTAGCTCTCCCTTCTCTCTAAGAGTCAATACTCTATCAGTTAGTATTTTCCTATGTTGTTTTATTCGGCTGAGTTTCCTCTGACCGCGCGAGGGTTTGATCCGTTCCGTTTCTGATCGTGTGTTTCATAACTTCTTCTCTGCCTCAGATCCAGTGTTCATTTGCTGCTACTAATGGATAGCTTAAATTAGGCTTATGGAAGAATGTCAATTAAGGGTGAAGATAGCAGTGGTCTGGTATTTGAGTGAGGTGCCTTGGAGAAGTTAAAAAACAGCAAGATTGTGGTGCTCCTGGAACAACACCGCCTAAAATACTGATAGACGAGATGATTCATTTGGAGGTGACTAGTCAAACCTCTTCTCCCTTTCTGATGGCTGATAAAATCGGGATGCTTCCTTTGGAGGTGGTTGGACAAACCCGTTCTCTCTTCTCGATGGCTGGTAAAATCTAAATGATACTCCGTATTTTCTGGCTGGTAGCCAGGTTTACCACTACAATTTTAGTAGACAAAAATATAATTAATTTGGGTTATGACAAAAAAGTTACCACCGGAATCTTCTTAGGGGGTGTTTGGAACTGATTCTGCTTCTGCTTCTTTTTTAAAGCAGAAGCAGAATCAGAATCAGTTTTCAGAAGCTGGTACCCCCCAGCTTCTAAAAAACTGATTCTAGGAGTAAATTAGAGCATCAGAATCACTTCTGCATTTTCACCCAAACACTCCAACTTCTGCTTCTGCTCCTTCAGGGAGCAGAAGCAGTTTTAAGAATTGGATCCAAACACCCCCTTAAAATACACGCGGATGCTCCGTATTTTCTAAGCGTTCCTAACACAAATTAGGATTTCTGCTCCATCAAATTAGGTTTAGTAGACAGTCTCTTCTCCATTCAAAAAAAATCACACGATCCCTTTCTTCATTTAGGATTTCTGC